AAGACAGTAACTTGATGGTTAGGCAAAAGAGGTGCCTTCCTTTGCAAATGTTTTGAGGTAGTAAAACATCTCCCTCTCCGTACTCAAAAAACCATTCCATTAAATTTAGATAGAGAACCTTTATGTTACAGAAAAAAGCTCTACTCTCACGATGCGAAGAATCACAGTTTCCAAAGATATCGATAAAAACCCTGAATTTATAGAGATAATAAAAAAGGGAATCTAAGAGTACAACTGCTCTCAGCAACCATCTAAATGGTAGGGAGAGCTCTATAAAAGTAGGGGGCGGCTTTCTAGATAGAGAAAGATGGAAATATTCATTTTTTAGAGAGAGAAAAACTTGAACTAGTACTAGAAGATGGGATCTGCATAGTTGAAGATGAGAGAAGGAAAGAGTTGTGAGACCTTCTTGAGAGTGGGAGAGAAGCTTTTGTAAGTGCGACTGCGGGAAGATTTGGGGAAAGGCGCCGAGGGAAACTCAAATTTTTTTCGCTCATTTCCTTTCGGGTAAATTTGGCTTAATAAAATCTAATGGGGTTATCCAAATGGTTCCAATTGCTATGTCAATCTTTTTTTCTTGTCATTGAAAAATATTACAATTTTGGGTACATCCAAACTGGCTCTTAGGACTTTTCATGTATGATGTTTATTTTAGCACGTTTGATTTCTAAAAGACGTAGTTTTAGAAACTAATCTTCTAGTATTGTAGTACTTTCCTATTTGATAATGGGGAAGCATTACAATAAAGTAGATAACATGGTATCCACTTGCCTAATATCTAATGCTAAAAAATGGGTACCACTAGTTGCATGAGATACTATGGAATTTGGGATATCAATTTCTTTGAAAGATGCGATTTTTAAAACTATGTCCTCCAAAAATCAAACACGCCCTTAGTGTATGAGATGGAAAGATATCTAGAAGGATTTAAAGGCCATGCTATATGAGGAGGGGCTCAATGATGACCTTAACTAAAGTGGATGGTGGGAAAGCAAGTGAGCCATGGATGTAAATGGAGAATGCAACTCTTATCGTGTGCTTCTCACCATAAACTTTTTATTAGGCAAAAAGTATATGATGAGTTTGTTTGCCTTTCATGAATTGAGCCATGATCAGCATTGGATGTAAAATTGGATGGTTGGGAGTGTCTCAATAACCACGCTCAACATCAAAATAAGTTTTTTTATTTTTTTGAATTTTGTGAAGATTTTATGGCTTGAAGATTTCATTGCTAAAGTGATTTTCTGACATCCTTAAAGTTTTTGGTGGTTTTCTTGTACCAAAGTTACAAGAGTCCTACAGTATACAATGGTTTCCTTGTAACAAAGTTACATGACCCCTATAGTGTACAATCCATTTAAGGATGCCGAATCAAATGAGACTCTTGGAACCCTCAACAACTCGGAAAGCAAAGAATAAATTATCAAAATGCCTCCAATTCAAGGTTTTCAATTTTGAACAAAAACAACTTGGCCATTTTTATATTATTTTAAGGAGGTAAATATGAAACTTATGAATTGATCCTCATAATAATAACGAATATGATGAATTGACCATGCTAATGATTTTCTAAGGTAACTTGATCATTTAAGTAGTTATATTTTTCTCATGAATTATGATAGAAAAATGTATTAATCTCTTCTTCTTCTTTTTTCCAAATGTTATAGAAAAATGACTTAAATATTTTTATGATATTTATTTTACTTCCATATTATAACTAGATGAGCATAATCTCATCGGGCTATTTCAAGTCATTGATTCAACAACATTGTTATTTAACAAGAAATTTGCCCCAAGTGGATCTTCCAAAAAAAAAAAAAGTTGCTATGGATGAAAATCGTACCTTCACAAACTTTAGGGGTATTCTTAGAGTGATATTTCTCATGATCATCACGGTATTTTAAGTACCGTGATGCCTTTATGGTCATACAATTATTGTGAAGGCTATTTTGTTAAAATAAATACAAAAAAAAAAAATAGGGATAAGATTTAAGAAACTATTGAGTTTTTTTTTCTTTTTTTTCTAATAAGCCAAAACTTAAGATATATTTCTTATAATTTCTCTAGAATATGTTATTCAAGGTGCATCTAAAGATTGTCCCAAAAGCAAAAACCTTACATGAAATATTTTTAGAAAAAATATAGTTTATAGAAAATAATCTTATCTAAAAACATTTTCTACGGATCTAAATGGGGCCTAAAAGGTAAACAATACAAAATACCGTTTCGAACCACCAAGGACTTATTAGACCTAGAGTTATGCGCCACCAATTCCGTGCTGGCATAGCGGTCCTCAATATACTTAGCTATTCACGCATTAAACAATCAAATTTAGAAGTGCACCTTCAAATAATATTTAGAAATGTAGTTTTAATACTTAATATCATTGTGATAGCTTTAAAGCAATGGTTTAAAAACCGGATCAGTGACCCGGATCAGGCTTCCAAAAAATCGATCCGGATCGGT